CCATCAGGGCCAGGGCTCGAACCGCAGTAGGCCAAGGGGAATTCAGCTCCATGTGCCCGGCCCTTAACTATTGCACTATGGGGCTAGCCTATATTTTCCCTTCTTATTTTCTTTCTTTTCTTTTTTTTATCTTAAAGATTTATTTATTTAATTGTATTTGTTCTTATTTCTTTTTAATTTTACCAGAGAGAGAGAGGGGAAGGAAAAGTAAGAAAGCAAGCCACTAAGTCTGGGAATTGAACCATGGTCAGCCATGTGGGAGTCCAGTGCCTTAACCACCATACCACCTGCCAGCTCCTATTTGCTCTTCTTAAAGGTTAAAATGATTTAAAGGTTAAAACTGTTATATCTCCCACTAAATTTGTTTAAAAAATACTGGGGTCATCACAGGGAAAAATAATGCTTATTGCTTATTCTTTGTGAGGACCATCATCCACGCCACATCTGCTCACTACAACCCGAAAAGGGTATGTTATGTAAATGAGGACCTCAGGCTCAGATGAATGCATCACTTGCCTGAGGTCTTGTGGCCAAATAGACCCACCCCAGGGTTCAAACTCTATAACTATCTGGCATCGACAGTCCGCTTGACCCCATCACTGCTGCCCCTGAGGATTCGAAGGAAGTAGCCACCAAGTGGGCTTACAGATTTCTTTCCCTCTTTCGCAATCTGTGTGTTCTCTCATTTAAAATGTAAATATTGATCATGAGTGTTTAATGGAATTCTGTTATTTACATACAGTATTTCATGGGGAACGGGCAAACGGGGGACTGCGTCCTCATATTCATATAACTCCAGGGAACCTGGGTATCTCTGGGGGTTCCCAACCTAATGGGAGAACAGGTCTTGCAGATTCAACCCCACCCGACTTTGTGATCTCAGATGTCATAACTAGGTACCTCTGGCCTCGTTTTCTGTATGTTCAAAATCTTACCAATTTACGGAGCAATTTTTAAAAACTGCACTTGCCAGAGAGACAGAAAGACAGAGCGAGAGGGAGGAGAAAGCACAGCTCAGTGGGGTGTGGTCAGGCTGCAATCCCTTCTCCTCTTCCGCCACACACACACATCTGGCATGGTTTTCAAGCTGCTGGGTCCAGGATTCAAGCCATGCAGTTGGCCATGTGGAATTCTACACCCTTAACCATTAGGCTATGGGTATTGTCCTGGAGCAATTTTTATTTATTTTTATTTTTTTGAATTTGCTGTAGGACACACGTGCTTGCCGAAGAGAGACAGAGAGGGGAGGAAAGTGTGAGAGCATCCCTCAAGGGGAGAGAGCTACATCTGCTACACCTCAATTCCTTCTTCGTTCTCCTCTCTGAACTTTGGGCATGCATGCACTCGCACCCAGCATGTTTTCAAGCCAACATGCAGTTGACCACGTGGGATCCAGCTTCCTTAACCACCACGCCAGGAGCAATTTCTATACTGTTCTGGTTGGTCATACCTCAAGCTATTTCTCGTAATACCATAAAGCTCACTAAAGCACCCCTCACGGTCAAAGCCTTATCTTTATTCTTTATTCATGACACAAAGTATGCACACGCACGCACAAGAGGGAGAGACAGAGAACATCTTTGGCAAGGTCTGGTCATGCCGGGATCCCCTTCCTCCAGTCCTCCAGCCTGTCAGATCATGTGTACTCATACACATGCCAAGCACGTTTCAGGCTGACAGTCTGGGGACCTGAACCACGCTACCAGGACGATCCAGCTCCTCCTGAGCAGTGCATTACCACTGTGCCATGGAGACGGCCCCAAGTCTTGCCTTAACCCTCCTAGCCTTGCCTTCACCTGTTTCCTGATCCATGACGCACCTGACATTCTGACCTTCTCACTGAGCCTTCGCCGCACCCTCTTACCTGACACCCAGCACTTGCTTGTCCCTCTCTGCTCTTTGCTTCCTTCTTTAGCTATAATGAGTCATCTCACCCTAGTGAGGCGGCCTTCAGCTGCCCAGGACAGGCACACGCAGTCTCATCTGCCCTGGGACTCCATCACCACACAGGCTTCCGCATGTGCCAATAAATACAGACATTTTATGACTTAAAACCAATGCTGGGGGCTGGCAGGTGGCATGACGGTTGAGGTGCTGGACTCCCACATGGCTGACCACGGTTTGAGTCCCAGTTGTGGTGGCTTGCATTGCACCTTTCCCTCTGTCTCTCTCTGGTCAAATTTAAAAAATAATAATGATGATGAATAAAATTTAAAAAATAATTTTTTTAGAGGTTTTTACTATAGGGCGCGTGCGCTTGCCAGAAAGACAGAGAGAGACAGAGAGATAGAAAGCGAGAAATCACCCTCCCAGGGGGGATGGTCACACCGCAATCCCTTCTCCTCCATTCTCCTCTTGGGATCTTGGGCACGCACGCACACGCGCCCGGCATGAGTTTAAGCCACCGGGTTCGGGACTCGAACTGCGGTCGACTACATGGGAGTTCAGCGACATAGCCATTACGCTAACTGCTGGTCCCAATAATATATATATTTTTTAAGGATAAAAGAAATGCTAGAAGCAACAGCCTAGAAGCGTGGGAAACAGCTCTGATGACAGCATAGCTGAGGACAAGAGTGAGCCCAAACCAATCAAATGGAAACGTATCCCTCCTGATTAGGAAAGACATCTGTCACCAGGTCTGTAATCTCGCAGGAAGATGCCTCGCATAGCTACTTCTTACACTTTCTCTTCTGTGTGTTGCGTGGACAAGAAGCGCTGCTCCTGGGGTAGAACTGCTGACACGGAGGGTGGAGGGACAGCCTACCCTCCGGGAGGGCAGGAACTTTGCCATCTTACACATTTCGGTTCATAACATGCAAAAGGCACTCACCATATATTTTTGACTGAAGACACAGATTGATTGCATTTGAAATAATTATCATGTGAAAATGTCAGTATTATAAAGCTGCAGGAGAGGTAGTAAGAGTTCGTGAATCCCGGCAAAGCCCAGATAGACTCCGGCCTCAGGGTTTGAATGAGTTAGCTGAGCATTCATGGCCATCTAGTGGCAGAACATCCATCTACATCATTGGGTTAGTAGATTAGTGGGTTTTTTTTGTGTTTTTTTTTTTTTATTTTTACTTGAATTTACTACAGGGCAAATGCATTCACCAGAAAAAAAAAATGGAGAAAAAGAGAAAATGAAAAAGCAACCCCTAGAAGATGGCCACGCCACAATCCCTTCTCCTCCATCTTTCCTCCTTTTGGGTTTTGAGTATGTACACATGCCGGTCATGTTTTTTAAGCTACCAGGTTCAAGACTTGAGCTATGTAGTTAGCTATGTGGGATCCAGCCAACTCAATTATCACACCACCAGCTAGTCCAGTTTAGTTTTTTTTTTAAGAATTATTTATTGGAACCAGCAGTTGGCATAATGTCTATGTTGCTGGACTCCCATGTAGTCGACACGGTTCAAGTCCCAGACCCGGTGGCTTAAACTCACGCCAGGCACTGTCTCTCTGTCTCTCTCTGTCTTTTTGGCAAGCGCACACACTCTACAGCAAAAACCTCTCCAAAAAAAAAAAAAGAATGATTTATTATTATTATTTAAAATGTGCTATAGGGCATGTACACTCACCAGAGAGAAGAGGAAGACAGAGAGAGAGAAGGAAAATAAAAAAGCAAGCCACCAAGTCTGGGACTTGAACCACGGTAGGCCATCTGGGAGTCCAGCACCTCAACCACACCACCTGCTGGCCCTAGTGGTTTCTTTTCTTTCTCTCTCTCTTTTTTTTTAACTTTGTGATATTTTCATTACTCAAAAAAGTGTCATTTTAAATTTAGCTTTCTGACTCTGTGCTGGTGCCTTCAAAACTTTCACTATGGGGGCCAGCAGGTGGCTTGGTAGTTAAGGGCGCTGGACTCCCACATGGCTGACTGTGGTTTGAGTCCCAGACCTGGCAGATTGCTTTTTCACTTTCACTTTCTCTCTTTCTCACTCTGCCCCTCTCTGGTCAGATTAAAATTAATTAATTAGTTCATTAATTAATTAGGTTAAATAAAATAATTATTTAAACAAAAACTTTGACAACAACTCTCTGCTCCTCTACAAGGAAGGCACACTTGATGTGGTCATGGACACACCCGGCGCACGTGGAGCCCGTAGGCCATGCTAACGTGCTTCTTCATTTCAGACAGTCTTATAAGAACTTTTGGTCTCACCGCACGAACCCCTTGGAGTCGGCACGGGCACACGCCCCATGCAGATTTCAGTGCTTTCTCAACCTTCTTGGTCTAAAGGTAAACAGTCCTATTACCAGGGGTTCGGGACAGCTTAGTTTTGCTGGAGTCTGTGTTATAGGAAAGCCTATGCCAACAGGTCAAATGCTGGATCATTCTGAGTACCTCTAAACACTACCCAGAAGAGCCCTAGTGGGTGTTCTTTAAATCAGCTTTTTTTTTTTTTTTTGCTATAGGGTCCACGCGCTTGGCAGAGAGACAGAAAGCAAGAAATCACCCCTGAGGGGGGATGGCCACGCTGCAATCCCTTCTCCTCCATTCTCCTCTCGGGATCTTGGGCACGCACACACATGCGCCCGACGTGAGTTTTAAGCCACCGGGTCCGGGATGCGAACTGCGGTAGACTACGTGGGAGTCCAGCGCCATAGCTATTACGCTAACTGCTGGTTCCCCCCAGTGTGAATTTTAAGCTGCCAGGTCCGGGACTCGAACCATGATTGACCATATGGGAGTCGGGCACCTTAACCATTGTGCCACCTGTTGATCCCTAAAATCAGCTTTTTTGAAGCTAAACTATAAAATTAAAATTAAGCAGTGACAGCAAATATATCATAGGGTAAGAGACAGAAAAAAGTGGGGGGGAAAAAGAAGAAAATAAAGAGCAAAAAAGAAAAATAAATAAACATACGGTGAGAGAGAAAAAAGAATGGAGAGAGAAGCTAAAGGATGAGACTCGAACTCTTAGGAGGGGTAGAGAGGGACTGGTACCAAGACTGGCACTAAGTGTGAGGCGGAAGGACCGCGTTGGGTTCCGTACTTGTCAAAGTTGACATCCAGCATGCCTGCCTTCTCCTGGCTGATCCGTAGCAGTGGTGTGTCCAGCCGCCGAATGCAGTCCTTGTCCAGCGTGGCTGTCCACTCTTGGAAGGTTTTCCGAACCAGTTCGTCAATGGCCTGCACCATCTGCTGGTAGGTGTGCACGCTCTCCTCTCCAGTCCCAATGTGGGGCAGGAAATGGGCACTGGAAAGGCACTGAGGGGGTAGAAGGATAGATGGGTGGAGCCTGTTGGCCACATTCCTCTAGACAGAAGCTGCACAAGCCATACACACACGCGCACACATGCAAGTGCACACATGCACATACCCCAACATTCGTACAAGGTTTGCTATGGAGACTAAGTGGTTTTGACACCTCAAAGGAAAGACAGAGCCAAAAAGAAAGGTGAGAGGGACCAGCAGTTAGCGTAATGGGTATGTCTCTGGACTCCCATGTAGTTGATCGCAGTCCGAGTCCTGGATCCAGTGGCGTAAACTCATGCCGGCATGTGTGCGTGCATGCCCAAGATCTCAAGAGGAGAGTGGAGGAGAAGGGATTGCGGCGTGACCATTCCCCCTGGAGGGAGTTTTCACACTTTCTGTCTGTCTCTGTCTGGCGAGTACATGCACCCTATAGCAAAAACCTCTCCAAAAAAGAAAGAAAGAAAGAAAGAGAGAGAGAGAGAGGGAGGAAGGGAGGGAGGGAGGGAGGAAGGAAGGTGAGAGGAAGAGACCAAGGCACAATGAGAAAGGGGGTCAGGACGAGGAAAGAGAAATGAAGAGCTTCAGGTCAAGAAAAAAATTGGGCGAGAAAAGTAAATGACAGAAAGTGAAGGTTTAAGAAGTACAATGTGGAAAACCAGTATAAGGCATTCATAACTCCAGTCTTGGTCCACTGATTCTTTTTTCTTCCTTTAGGTTTAATTTTTTGCCATAGGGCGCATGCACTTAACAGAAAGACAGTGAGAAATTACCCCAGAGGGGATGGCCATGCCCATGTATCCTCTCCTCCATGCACAGTATTTCGGACATGCATGAACACATGCCCATCATAATCCTCAAGTTGCTGGATCTGGGACTCAAACTGCAGTCAGCCATGTGGGAATCCAGCACCTTAACCACTACAACACCTACTGGCCAGGCCCATTGATCCTTAAAAATCCTCCCCTTATCTGTAGTCTGCCTTACCCTTTCTCAGAACCCATGGGTGGTAGCAGGTCAGTACCTCATTGACTTACAGTCACAAATTTTTTAAATTATTAGGACCAGCAGTTAGCGCAATGGCTATGTCTCTGGATTCCCATGTAGTCGACCACGGTTCACGTCCCGGACCCGGTGGCATAAAACTCACTCTGGACACGTGTGCGTGCGTGCCCAGGATCCCGAGAGGAGAATAGAGGAGACGGGATTGAGGCGTGGCCATCCCCCCGGGGGGTGATTTCTCGCTTTCTATCTCTCTGTCTCTCTCTGTCTGTCTGGTGAGCGCACGCGCCCTGTGACAAAAACCTCTCCAAAAAAAAAACATTTTTAAAATTTATTTATTTAATTTTATTTTTTTTAAGAATTATTTTAACTTTATTTATTTAGTTTAATTTGACCAAAGACCCAGAGCAAGAGAGAGAGCCAGAGCAAGAGAGAGAGAGAGAGAGAAAGTGAGAAAGCAAGCCGCCAGGTCCAGGACTTGAACTACAGTTGGCCATGTGGGAGTTCAGCACCCTTAACCACCATGCCACCTGCTGGCTATTATTATTGTTATTATTATTTGACTAGAGAGAGACAAGAAGAGAGGGAAAGTGAGAAAGCAAGACACCAGGTCTAGGACTCAATGCAGTTAGCTATGTGGGAGTCCAGTGCCTTAACCACTACACCACCTGCTGGTCCCCCACAAAATATTTTTTAAAAATTTATTTTCAGGGACTGCCCTGGAGTCCAGCTGTGGGTTCAAAACTCTCAGCAAGGAGTAGTGAGGAGGGAATCCTGCCTGGCATCCTGGCCTCACCTCAGGACATGTGTGCTCACTGGAGAGAAACAGAGAGGGAAAGTGAGAAATCACCCAGCAAGGGGTATGGACACCTGCAATCCCTTCTCCATTCTCCTCCTGGGATTTTGGGCACACACGCACATGCAGCAGGTGTGAGGTGGTCAAGCCACTTGTCCATGACTTGAACTACAGTAGACCATGAGGGAATCCAGGACCTTAATACCCATGACACCTGCCTGTCCCGTAATTAATGTACTTAAAAGTTCAACTAAATTTGGAAAAATTCAAGGAAAAATATTATTTTCAGGACCAGCAGATGGTGTAATGGTTACATCACTAGACTACCACCTGGTCAACTGCAATTTGAGTCCTGGACCTGGAGGCTTGAAACTCATGCCGGGGCTGTGTGCGTGCATGCCCAAAATCCTGAGAGGAAAATGGAAGAGGAGGGATTGCAACATCCTCCTAGGGGGTGATTTTTCACTTTCTGTCTCTCTGGCAAGTGCACATGGCTATAGCAAAAATCTCTCCAAAAAAATTATTTTCATCTGTTTCTTTGTGCCTGCTCTTCCAGAGAGACAAGGGCCTCACCTGTCCAGCCCTTGGGTCCATGAGGCTGTATTAGTCTTTTGCTGGCCAGACTCCCCAGCACTGGCCCTGCGCCTCCTCTTCACCTTGATACAAAATTCCTGAATGACCCACGTGCTAGCAGCCAGTCACCATCTCCACAAACCCAAACCCAGGGCCCGCCTCACTAAACTGAACCTGCTGTTCTCGTCCAGTTTAGTCGCTGGTCATGCAAACTTCATAGGGAAACTCTCTGCACCAGTCTGCCATCCTTCCCAGCCCGCCTGGGGCACAGCCTGCAAACCTTGCCGGCTGGCTGAGGGCAGACTTCGGAAAAGGCCAGGACTTACATTCATGACTCTGTCGATGCGCCGCCGCAGGATCCGCACCCAGTGCGCCTGTCCGGAATAGTGGGCCATGTAGGGCGCCAGGTATGGCCATTTCTTGTTCAGTTCACGGTTCACGAGGGCCAGCTCACTATTAAACAGCATGTAGAGATCCACCGCCTTCTTATCGTACGTTCGCTTGATGGCCTAAGGCAGGAGATAGCCATGTGCGCTGGGGCAGGTCCCCAAATTGCACTTAGTAACATGGACACCAGGGAGACAGAGGGAAGCAGAGAAGCACTGGCGATTCCGGACATGGGAAAGGAACAGATGGAGGTAGGATGGTGTCTGATTGACCCCAAAGAGAAGAGCAAGAGACCGGGCAGGGCACGGGGCGGCCTTACTTCGCGGGTGGCGAGCCTGTGGAAGGTGTCCAGCAGCAGCACCCCATGCTCCACATCGCGGACTAGCTCGAAGGCCGAAGTGATCAGGTTCTGGGTCATCACCTCCAGGTCCTTGATTCCAGCACGGAATCTGCCCCAGCAAAGAACATTGACATGTGGGGGGGCTGGTGAGGACACCCCCTCAGCAAGACCTGCATAAGCTGTTGTGTACTAAGGGCCTCCCGCGTGTCAGGTGCTTTACGTCATCCTCAAAGCAACGTTACAGACAGATTCTATTGCTAGCCTTGTTTTATAGACGCGAAGGGAGGCACCAATGAGTGGGCTAACGTGCCCGAGTCACACATCTGGTACACGGCAGAACCAAGACTTCAGTCCTGAAAGGCCAACTCCAGGGCCCTGAACCTCACCAGTGACCTCCCTCCCTTACACTGTGTCCTGTTCTCCCCATCCCTGATCTGTCCTTCCTTCCACTATGCCCTTCATACATCCCTCCACTCCTTCCATTCCTATTTTTCAAAGTTTATTTATTTCTTCCATAACAGAGAGAGAAACAGGGGAGAGAGAGATACAGAGACATAGGCACCCCACAAGGGTCCTCACCCCACCTCAGCCATCCTGGATCTTGGACAACACACGTAGACCGGCTGTGCACAGAGAGGTCCCAGGATGCAAACCCAGGACCTTCCCATATGAGTCTAGTTGTGTTCCTGCCATGCCACCACAGGGCCCCACTCCTCCCATTCTCCAGAGAGACAAGGGCCTCACCTGTCCAGCCCTTGGGTCCATGAGGCTGTATTAGTCTTTTGCTGGCCAGACTCCCCAGCACTGGCCCTGCGCCTCCTCTTCACCTTGATACAAAATTCCTGAATGACCCACGTGCTAGCAGCCAGTCACCATCTCCACAAACCCAAACCCAGGGCCCGCCTCACTAAACTGAACCTGCTGTTCTCGTCCAGTTTAGTCGCTGGTCATGCAAACTTCATAGGGAAACTCTCTGCACCAGTCTGCCATCCTTCCCAGCCCGCCTGGGGCACAGCCTGCAAACCTTGCCGGCTGGCTGAGGGCAGACTTCGGAAAAGGCCAGGACTTACATTCATGACTCTGTCGATGCGCCGCCGCAGGATCCGCACCCAGTGCGCCTGTCCGGAATAGTGGGCCATGTAGGGCGCCAGGTATGGCCATTTCTTGTTCAGTTCACGGTTCACGAGGGCCAGCTCACTATTAAACAGCATGTAGAGATCCACCGCCTTCTTATCGTACGTTCGCTTGATGGCCTAAGGCAGGAGATAGCCATGTGCGCTGGGGCAGGTCCCCAAATTGCACTTAGTAACATGGACACCAGGGAGACAGAGGGAAGCAGAGAAGCACTGGCGATTCCGGACATGGGAAAGGAACAGATGGAGGTAGGATGGTGTCTGATTGACCCCAAAGAGAAGAGCAAGAGACCGGGCAGGGCACGGGGCGGCCTTACTTCGCGGGTGGCGAGCCTGTGGAAGGTGTCCAGCAGCAGCACCCCATGCTCCACATCGCGGACTAGCTCGAAGGCCGAAGTGATCAGGTTCTGGGTCATCACCTCCAGGTCCTTGATTCCAGCACGGAATCTGCCCCAGCAAAGAACATTGACATGTGGGGGGGCTGGTGAGGACACCCCCTCAGCAAGACCTGCATAAGCTGTTGTGTACTAAGGGCCTCCCGCGTGTCAGGTGCTTTACGTCATCCTCAAAGCAACGTTACAGACAGATTCTATTGCTAGCCTTGTTTTATAGACGCGAAGGGAGGCACCAATGAGTGGGCTAACGTGCCCGAGTCACACATCTGGTACACGGCAGAACCAAGACTTCAGTCCTGAAAGGCCAACTCCAGGGCCCTGAACCTCACCAGTGACCTCCCTCCCTTACACTGTGTCCTGTTCTCCCCATCCCTGATCTGTCCTTCCTTCCACTATGCCCTTCATACATCCCTCCACTCCTTCCATTCCTATTTTTCAAAGTTTATTTATTTCTTCCATAACAGAGAGAGAAACAGGGGAGAGAGAGATACAGAGACATAGGCACCCCACAAGGGTCCTCACCCCACCTCAGCCATCCTGGATCTTGGACAACACACGTAGACCGGCTGTGCACAGAGAGGTCCCAGGATGCAAACCCAGGACCTTCCCATATGAGTCTAGTTGTGTTCCTGCCATGCCACCACAGGGCCCCACTCCTCCCATTCTTGTCGCCCCTGAGCTCTCTTCCCCGCCAGCCCGGGCATCGGCTGAGTCACTCACTTATTGTAGTCTTCATGCCAAGAGGTGTTCTTGACGTCCAGGATGCCCCCGCGGACAGCTCGCAGCGTGTGCAGGTTTTTATGAAAGATGTCCTCGATCTCCAGCAAGTTTCGTGTTATCTGCGGCCCCTGAGCACCAAAGAAGCAAGGAAGGGGACCTTGCGTGCCATCTTCCCAGCGGGCGAAGTGGTGCTGACAGTCGCATACCTAAACAGAAGCCAGCATGAGGGTGTCTGCTGTCCTTTCTGCATGTGTACGTATGTCCTGAACTCTTTAACTTCAAATGTCTAACAAAGAGGGCGAGCCATCCAGATCCAGGGACTGCAGGGGTGAATTCTGCTGCAGAACGAGGTATCTGATAGCAGGGTAGTGACGACGCAAAGCCAAGGACGGCATGGTTCTAGGTTTTGCCTCTTAATAAGCGTGTCCGCCCCATCTGCCCTGGGTCCCAGAGGAGAACATTCTGGACGGCCTGCTGTTGGCTTTTGATTCTCCCCACCTCAATAAGGTCCTTGCAGCGTTGCACAAAGGCATCAACCTGAGCAAATATGCTGGTCTGGTCCAGGACCCAGCCCCGACTGGAGAACCTGTGTTAGGAGAGAAATGAACTGAATAAAAAAGCGGGAACACTAGGGATCAACTCGCTTGTTGGGATCTGGTTTCCCAAGGCTCTCTCTGACCCTAAGGCTCATGGTCTAGCACTTTTCCTGAGTCCTGAGGTAAGAGATTCAAAGTGACAGGAACAAGGTGAGACATAGCATCTAAGTTCTAGGAGAAGGTTCATATGCAGTGGAATTTTAGACTACAGGGCCAAGATAGGAGGAAATGGCCAGGCAGGCTCCTAAAATCAGGGAGGAGAGACCATTAGAATAAGGAGAACCCGGAGCTGGGAGCTAGAGTGTCTATCCAGACACAAAACTTGGCCAGATATACAAACTCCCAGGTCTAGAAAAATACAATCCATATGCCCTGGCTGGCTCCGTGTCCTGGAGGTTAAGGCAGTAGGATTCTACCTGGCCAACTGTGAGGCTCAAGTCCCAGGCCCAGTGGTTTGAGAAACATGCTGGGCATGTGTGCACATGTGGTGGAAAATCTCAGAAGGAGCAAGAGGTGGAGGAGAAGGGATTGCAACACAACCATTCCCCATAGAGGGTGCTTTCTCCTCTTCCTCTCTTTCTCTGATGAGTACATGCACCCTCTAGCCAAAACACACAAATACACACACACACACACACACACACACACCATTGGCTAAAAGCACACAGAATCTGCCCACTACAGGGTAATACATGGGGTGTTAGGGAAGCATATCATACTGGGTATGCATGTGCACAGCTCGAAGGTAGTGATCTTTCCAAGCATGACAGCAGGAAATGCAGCCTTGCAGATCCTCCTTGCTGGAAGTGACATATCCCTCAAAGATCCGGTCCAGGGAGATGGCGTTACAGCACAAGCGGATGATCTCATTGCTCATCTGCAGAGGAGCCCCGGCAGCTTCAGTTCCCAGCCTATTCACCTGCTTCCTTCTCTGAACCTGACCATGTCTCAGATCTGTCTCCTGCTCCTTCACTTGACCCCTGAGATCATCTTGCTTGGGTCCTCCAGCACTGCTTGGGCTGACACCTCTGCATTCCACTTTCCCTCCTTGCCCTGGGTGGCTCTTACTCTGCCTGAGCCCAGCTCTTGCTTCACGGTCCAGCAAGCTCTCAACTCAGCCTCCCCCTCCCTCTTGTTGCCTCTGTTCCTGGATGAAATGCACCAGGTCCCACTCAAGACCTGGTGTTCCTTCCTAAGTCTACTCCTCTCCCACGGTGATCTGCAGTTTGAGAAATGAGGACGAGAAGGTCTCCTACACAACCCAGCCTGGGAACCTGTCCCTCCTGCCTCCCTCGCCATGCCCCATCAATTCCTCTTCTCAAAAGCCCTCTTCCTGCCTAAGCTACTTAACATCTGGGGGGAAAACATCCAGCCCAGCCCTAGCTCTGAGAACCACTAAGGCCGATGGTGCAGGAGAAGCCTTTAGTCTCTGACCTGAAGGGCAGTCCTCACCACTTCCTCGCTCACAGATCTGCCACGTGAACGCTGTCTTCTACAGAAAACCCAAGCTTTACCGAGGCAACCACCCTCACGATCCTTCCATCCGCCCTCACATACACGTACCTTCCGGAAGAGCGAGGTCAGTCTCTCCCGAGTGTTGTAGTGGGGAGAGTTGACCCAGATGATGCGGATGAGACTGATTAATTTAGGGAGCTTACTAGAGATGTCCTTAGGCCTCATGAAAGCCAACTCCTGGTACGGTTCCTTCAGGATTGATAAAAAGGTCAGGTTTGACTGTGCTTGACGAGAGCCATCCTGGCAGGAAAGAGAAACCGGGAGATTTATCCACTGGAAAGAAATTATTCAAGCAAGGGCCTTTTGCCCTCTCAAACCTCATCCTGTCTTGCCTTGCCGATGAACCCCCCCATAATAATGATCATGCAGATCGCTAAGCCCTCTGGGAGGAGAGTCTGCACATACCAACTTTTATTCCCTTACTACTTCCTTTTCTTCTAGTTAGTAGGAAGTGCGTGCACTCACCAGAGGAAGACAGAAGAGAGGGGAAGCACCCCATGCTGCAATCCTTTTTCCTCTATTTCTCTGTCCTATCAAGATTTGGGACATGCACCCACATGTGCCCATTTTTCAAGGTGCTGGGGCTGGGATTCGAACCGAACTTCAATGCACCATGTGGGACCTGGCTCCCTTAACCACTAGACCATAGGGCCAGCCCTCCTCTGCTACAGTCTAGAAAGTGTTTTAATGTCTTTTCTCACATATGAGTCCCAGTCAAGACTGAGGATTCCCCAAGCTCAGTTTGGTGTCAGTTCTTCTGTTTTCTCCTGCCAAGTTCAGAACTCTGTACCAAGAGGACACTCGAGAGCTGTTGATCAACTGACTGGACACCATTTCCCTTTGTCCACAAAGTTGTCATCCATCCCCCACTCTCCCCACACAGCCCTCCTCACCCGACTCCCTACAGTCAGTGTCTTGGCTGCTCCTCTTCCTCGCCCCTGGAATCCCCACTGCCCTGTTCACAACCAGCGCTGTAGATTTCTCCAGCTAGTTACGGCTCTCTTTTCTCTCTCTCTCCTCAGAATTATTTAATTTTATTTATTTATTTTTAATTTGACCAGAAAGAGACAGACATGTGGTGGGGGAGGGGATGTGAAAAAGCAAGCCGCTAGATTCGGGACTTGAACCACAGTCGGCCATGTGGGAATCCAGGGCCTTAACCACCATACCACCTGTTGGCCCCACAGCACAGTTCTCTTAACACATAGCTGAAAGTTTCACCCAGGAAGAGAAGTCTTCTGTATCTATATCCTAGAGATCATGCTCATCTCGTGTGTGATCCAGCACCAACATAATCAGCTTATATCAAATTTACTCTGTGAGTGTGTTTATCTCGTAACCCTCTTGACTGAACCACATGGCTCATCTTCGGTTCCACGCCAGCTAGTAATCCTGTTTGTGCAAGTCTTACTTTCTCAGCTGAATTACAGGGGTTGAGATCCCTAGAAAGGCCCTCAACATATATTGCTGATGAACTAGATGTCTCCCACCCTCACTACAGCTCTTGGGCACCCTGCGTTCTACTTCTGTACTCTCCCACAAGTTCAAGGCCAGATGCTGGGGGGTCAGTTATGCTGTCAGAGAGTTCACCGGCCCCTCTTCTTAGCCCGCTTCATCCTGACCATCGCCCACTCCTTGCTGAGCCTTCCTCCTTTGATCCACTCACAAACCTGGATCTGCTGGGCCAGTTTCAAAAAGGGTGCCAAGTAGGATGACTTGGCAAGGCGCAGGATGGACTCGATATGCTTCACTCCCTGCTTCACCAGCTGTTTGCTGATGCCAGACAAGTCCATGCATCGGTTGCGCCAGAACTCGATCTCCTCCAGAGGACCTAAATTCTCTCCTGTCTCCACGGTCTCCTGCGCGCTGAGCACCTCCTTTATCTGCCGGGTCCAGTGGATCATGGAGGCTGCAGGACAGAGTACACAAGGCAGAGTGTGAAATCTCTTTCAGGGCCAGCAGATGGCATGGAGCTTAATGCAGCTGGGTCCCACGTGGCTGACTGTGCGGTTTGAGTCCCAGACCTGGTGGCTTGAAAATCGTGCTGGGCTCCTGTGCATGCATGCCCAGAATCCCAGGAAGAGAATGAAGGAGAAGGAATTGCGCCATGGCCATTCCCACCCCCTGAAGGGAGGATGATTTCTCACTTCCTCTCTCTCTCCCTTTCTCTCTCCAGCAAGCACATGCATCCTGTAGCAAATGAAACAAAACAGAACAATCTCTTGCATTTATTCCCCCCACTCTCCCCACACAGCCCTCCTCACCAGACTCCCCATCGTCAGTGTCTCGGCTGCTCCTCCTCCTCGCTGCCCCTGGAATCCCCACCAGACACAGCAGTTCTGGCTGACCACTCACTTTCTAGTCGCTGCACCAGCTCTTTGTCCTTTACCACCACCTCGGGTTTCATGTTCACGGCCTCTGCGGGGATGTAGAGGACGGTGTGCCCCTCCAGCTTGTACCGCGTGTCTAAGGAAGGGACAGGATGGAAATTCATGGCGGGATGAATGTTCGCTGTCCTGAAATCAATCGTGGTGATGATGGGGGAAAGTATATGCACTTTAGGAGGGCAGGCAGGAGAAGCTACGACTCATTACTTCCTTGATATTAAGAGAAGAACTGACAGGCGCAAGAGGGAAACCTCCTGAAATATAACAAGAAAATGTCATAAAGTAAGGGCAAAGATCTGAACCATGCCCGCGACACCCTCTACCACAAGACCAGCGAGGTCCCCAACACCACCTACATTTCCCCCCAATCCCTCATGGACTCTTAGAAATGTTCTATTCTGGGGCCAGACATTGGTGGAGCATTAAAATGTGGTGCTCAGGACCAGCAGTTAGCATAATGGCTATGTCGTTGGACTCCCACGTAGTCGACCACGGTTCCAGTCCCAGACCCAGTGACTTAAACTCACTTGGGCGCGGGTGCATGCGTGCCCAAGACCCCAAGAGGAGAATGGAGGAGCAGGGATTGCGGTGTGGCCATCCACCCCGGGGGATGATTTCTTTCTTTCTGTCTCTCTGTCTCTCTCTGTCTTTCTGGCGTGCGCACACACTCTATAGCAAAAACCTCTCCAACAACAACAACAAAAACAAAAACGTGATGTTCTACAAGGCTGAGCCACATGGGAAGGCTCTGGGTTCGCATCTAGAGAAGCCTAGAGTGTGGAGGGCATTCACGGGCCCGTGATGGGTGTGGATCATGGCATCAAGATCTTGTTGGAAGGACTAGCGGATGTTGTAGTGTTTATATCACTGGACTCCCACATCGTCAACCACAGTTAGAGTCCCAGACCCAGTGGATTAAAACTCACGCCGGGCACGTGTACATGCATGTCCAAGATCCTGAGGAGAGTGGAAGAGAAGGAATTGTGGTGTGGCCATTACCCGGGGGGGAGGGGGTGATTTCTCACTTTCTGTCTATCTCTGTCTTTCCAGTGAGCACATGTACCCTATAGCAAAAATCTCTAAAAACAAACAAACAAAAAGACCCTGTTGGGAGTACTGTCTTTCTCTGTCTCTGCTCTCTGTCTCTCTTGCTCATGGAGGAAAAAACAAATAAGCCTTTTAATAATTTTATTTTAATTTTTTCCAGGGTTACATGTTCACCAGAGAGAGACAGAGAAGGGGAGAGGGAGTGAGAAAGCACCATATGAGGGACGGTTATATGCTGCAATCCCTCTTCCTCCATCTCTCTCTTAGGCTGCCAGGTCCAGGACTTAAACCACATAGTCAGCCATGTGGCATCCAGTCACCTTCACCACCACACCACCAGCTGACCCCTAAAAAAGATTTTTAAGAGAGAAGTTTCCTCAGGGCCAGCAGGTGACATGATGGTTAAGTTACTGTACTCCCACATGGCTGGTTGCAGCTTGGGTCCCAGAGCTGGCAGCTTGCCGTCTCAGTTCCTCTCTCTCTCTGTTCGTCTCTGGTGAGCACATGTACCCTATAGTAAATTTTAAAAATAATAATAAATAAGGATCAGCAAATGGCATGATGGTTATATCGCTGGACTCTCACTGAGCCGACTACTGTTCAAGTACCAGACCCAGGGGCTTCAAACTCATGCCAGGTGTGTGTGCCTGCGTGCCCAAAATCCCAAGAGGAGAATGGGGGAGAAGGGATTGCAGCATGTCCTTCCCCCCCCACCCCCAGGGGGTGATTTTTCACTTTCTTTCTCTCTCTCTCTAGCAAGCACACAGGCCTCATAGCAAAATTCTCTCTAATAATAATAATAATAATAATAATAATAATAATAATAAATTAAATTAAATAATTCTGAAAAGGAAAAGAAAGAAATTTCCTGAGCCTGAAGATGGCATTGTGGTTGAGGCACTAGACTCCCATATGGCTGACTGCAGTTCGAGTACCAGACACGGCGGCCTGAAAATCATGCCAGGTGCGTGTGTGTACGTGTCCAAAATCTCAAGAGGAGAAGGGATTGCAGTGTGACTATCCCCCATGGTATGGATGATTTCTGACTTTCCCTCTCACTATGTCTGCCCTATTGTTAAAAAAAAAAAAAAAAAAAAAAAACTTACTGGGACAACACATTTCG